TAAATAAAATTAATGAAACTTTAACATAGTAATTTTGAAATTAAAAAAAAAAGTTCATTAAGGAACTTAATATGCATTTATTATTGCATTTAAATAAATACTATGTGGAATCTCTAAATATTATTAAAAATGAACCTTTAATTCATCAATGAATCAATCAGAACCCTTGATTGCATTTCAATCCTATGTTTTCCACCATTAGATTAGATTGCTGATATCATCTTTTTCAAATAAAACTTAAACACAATTACATTGAATTATAAAAGCTTTAATAATTATAGAATTTTTAAATTCAATAATTACATTATCAATTACAGCATATAATTCTATTTATATACGAGAAATTAGTTTCTCTAATTAATATACGAGAAATTACTTATTTATAGCTTATGACTTCAAAATTCAAACTCGTTTGGTTTTTATTTAATTCTTTTTTCAACTCATTAAATAAGGCATATCAAGAATTTTGTCATTAACCTATAAAATCTAATCTAATCCTATTAAATTAGCAAAATATTTAATAGTCAAAAATAAAGTCAATATTATTTATAATTTATCTTCCGGTATATCCCACGTAAAATAAATCAATTTTAGATAATAGTTTTAAATTTAAAACTCATTAATTAATCAAGTCAATTAATTTGAAATTTTGATTCAATATAAATGATATTATTTTTTTCTAGATGAATAACCGAAAATCTCCAAGATAATATTTTAGGATCCCATTTTTTTTGAAAGATAATGATTTTCTTAATGAAAAACAACTTATATATACGCTTACATTGAAGGTGTCATTCTTACGATTTTGGACTGAATCGTATGATTTACAATGTTCTTCTTCAACGGTTTTATTCTACAATTTTTTTTCTAGGTTCTTTCTTTACCCTGTTCTCCTTCTTCTTCTACAATTTCTTGTATTACTTTGTTCTTATTACTTGTTATTATTGTATTCCTATTGAGAGGTCATGAAAAAAAATTAATCAATCTACTTTAAGTATATTAGTTTCATTCATTTAGTTATAGAAATAAAATTATATCTTTTATATTAATTTTTTAAATATGCTGACCTATGTTTGTCAAGAGAAAGTCATAAAAGTCGTTTTAACGTATGATGACATAACTCGTGGAACGGATAAAAAACAAGATGAAGAAGTTTTTTATTGTTACACTTCAACTTGCATTAACAAATACATATATCTTGTTCTAAGTTTTTCAAAAATTCTTTTATACATATTAGGGATATATACAGTAAAGTCCCAATATTTTCATCGATGTGACAAGAAAGTCCTAAACTTTATTTTTTTTTGACAATAAAGTCCAAATTACCGACAGTTTTTAACACTTTTACCAATTTTCCCCGGTTAGCCGGTAATTAGGACTTTTTTGTCAACAAAATAAAGTTTAGGACTTTCTTGTCAAATCGTTAATTAGGACTTTACTGTCAAAAAAATAAAGTTTAGGACTTTTTTGTCAAATCGTAGAAAAATATTGGGACTTTAGTGTATATATAACTTTTTTTGTTCGAAATTTAATAGTATGATACTCTTTAAGCATAAGAGTTATTGAAACCTTCTCTAATCAGCTAGATCCTATTGAAATCATTTACGTTTACTTCTTATTAAATCGTTTTTTTAATCTCAAAAAGAGATGATCTGAAGGTTCGTTTCAGGTTTGTCACCGTAAATAATAAGAGTTTCATTAATTGGTAAGTTCAAGTGAATAGCTCTTTCATAACATAGGATGTCGACATGATTAGAGCACAACCAATCCATACCTATTATGACGTCAAAACTTGTGATAGAGACCGGCATAATGTCTATTGGGAAAGACAAACATTCAAAGTAAGGGTACATCCTATGTATATATTATTGGTGGATTCGGATCTTCCGTTAGCCATTTCGACTGTGAAAGTTTCATTTAGCGATTGGGATTTTTGATTTAGTAGATGTTTAAAATTATGGCTTATGAAGCTTTTCTCAGCACCACAATCAAATAGAATACATGCATAAGTGTTGTTGAGAAGAAACGTACCCATGACCACTACAGGGCCTGCCACTGCTTCTTCGTGACCCAATGCTAAAATTCTCCCAACTCCACCGGCATTTCCAGCTTTTGGAAAATCTCTCTTGAAATTCCCCACATCACCGCATTAGTAGCATGCTCGACCTACTCCAGTGGTAGGTACTTGGTTAAGGGGTTGAGGTGGTGTTCTACAGCATTGGGCAGTATACCCTTTCCTGTTGCAGTTATGACACTGCATTTCTTGGAAATTTCCGTTGTGATGAAAATTGCACTTGTTGCATTTAGGGAGGTTACCGGCATAGGGCTTAGTTGGTGTTGGGTTATTAGGGGCAATAGTAGCAGGTATAGTAGTTGCATTGACTGCAACTAGTTGTTGTTTCTTTGAGGATTCTTATGAAGACTTGCCCTTCCTTTTATTCTAACCCTTCTTCTTTCCGTTGTTGTTATTATTGTTGTTGTTGTTTTCCTTCGGTTATTCTGGTGCAGTAACCACTGAGTTTTGACGGACTCTGAGGTCAATAAGAGATTGTGCCAGTTCTTTGGCGTTGTCAAAAGTAACGGGTCTTGAAGCTAAAACAATTGACTGAATTTGGGGTGACAGTCCCCAAATATATCTCTGGATCTTTTTGCTTTCCAGAGCTACCATATCCGGACAAAGAATTGCCAGATCACAAAATCTATTGGTTTAGGTTGATATATCAGAACCAACCATTGCAAGACCCCGGAGTTCTTGCTCGAGTTTTTGAATTTCCCCTCGCGGATAGTATTTCCGTATTAACATGACTTTTAAGTTCTCCCAGCTTATTGAATTAGCCCCTACTAGAGTAAGTGACTTAACGTGACCATTCCACCATGTTAAAGCACTATCTAAAAAGGAACAAGCAATGAATTTGATTATGCTGCTCTCTGGACAAGAGCTGATTTCAAAAATTGCTTCTGTCTTCTCTATCCACTATCTTAATGCCATAACTCCTCCAGTCCCATTAAAGGTTCTGGGTTTGGCATTTGAAAAATATTTATAAGTAAACTCTATCGAGTTCCCATGACTCTCGCCATGGTTAGAAGGATGTGCACCAACTCCCGACCCACTAGCACCAGGAGTATTGACATGAGACATGGCAGCCGCTACAGCTGCCATGACCGCCGCTTGGAAGATAGCAACGTCGAACTGAGGAGGTGGTGGTGGAGGTGGCGTCGGTGCTTCATTGATATTATTATGTCTTGGATTTCTACGAGGAGGCATCTTTTTCTATAAAAGTCAATAGATAAAAAAGATAGTGAGATATCATGAATCAATATGAATTTAATATCTCTGAAGTTAAAAACTTAATTCAACAAGAATCTTGTAAAGAATTGGAAATAGATGTCTACTGCAAGTACAACTTGCAACAAGATAATATGAAATGGAATGGTTTTTTTAAAAGTATGAAAATACATGTCGATTTTATTGATATATTAAGTACATATGGTCTAGAGAACTTGGCCTTAAAGCAGGTCTATAATATACCACAATACTGAGAAAGTGTGGATATTAAACCGACCTACCGAAAATAAAATTTTCATGGTCGTATTGAAAAATATGTAAAATAACACTGGAACATATCTGTAAACAAAAACTTTGAAATAGGATGTTTACGAAAATTGTAATAACTCTTGTTGAAGTAAAGTGTTTGTTACTTTATTGTTACTTGGTTTGTACATATCGTGAAAGTAGTATATACATTCGATACATAAAAATATAAAGTAGAAGTAGTGTAAACACTACTTGCGACGTTTGCTATAGCGGTTGCTAGGTCTTGCTTCATCATGTGCCTTCCAGCGCCTTTCTTGCGCAACTTGATGCTCTTTCAATTCCCTTATCTCTAATTAAGCAGCAATTACTTATATTTGAAGGGCTTCACTGTGTTGTTGAGTGTCTTCCTGCATTTCATCAAGAGGCAAGATATCCACAGTGTTGATCTGCGCAATAGCATTTACTTCAAGGATTCGATTGATCGAAATCCTTGCTTGATCGGTTTGACGGTTTATCCGATGTACCATAACTGGGAGAGCTCTATCTGCTGTTCCTCCGTATGAGACATTATATAAACCTCTTGCCTTTCCATATGGAGGGTGCATACCTTCTTGCTGACTCCAGTGGTTTATATGTTGGCCCCATTCTGGGATCGGTATTGCATCACCTTGTCTCACAATGTGTTGTCCGGGATTATAAACTTGTGGTTCCATGTCATTGCCACTTGACCTACTATCACTGTTAGGGTCGAAATGTTGTAATTGTCGAAGTTTGTATTTAGGGTCTTCGAACATTTCTGTAATTGTATTTTACTAGGGCATAATATTCGAAGCATAATGTTTTAGTCCTTAGTATATTTTTTGTACGCTTTCCTCTCCTATAAATAGGAAAAGTTACTAGTGTCTTAGTAACGAAGTCTTTACAGAATATTCATTGTACTCTGTAAACTTTGAAAAAGCGTAATAGAGCCAAACAGATCATATTTACATTGGTGTTCAAATCTCCCATACTTACGTTGAATTCACACAATTATTCATTCTATACTTGATTCTTTGATTCATCAATTGGTATCAGAGTGGGTGTTCTTGATTGGATTAAGAATTGATCCTTGATGGCAATCTTGATTTGGTGATTCTTCATATTCACACTGATCTTCATGTTTTAAGAGTGTTTGTGTTCTAGAAATCGAATTTTTCCTTGCTTTGATACCAATTGTAGAAGTGTTGATTATGATGGCATGTGCGGAATATGAAAGATCTAGTGAATCAACATGTAAAATCAAGAACACAAGAAGTAAATAATTCTTTTAAGCTCTCATTAGTTTCATAGAAAGAGTACAAATGGGTCTTGCAATTTTTCTCTCCCAAAACTAATGTTCTAAACGAAAGTGCTTACACCAATAGTGGAAGAGTCACAAAAAAATGTGGTTATTCCTTCAAAAACAGGGATGTTTCGAAGAATAAAGATGAAATCCAAACATAAACGCAAGTCTTCATCTCAGAAACTGCTTTGTAAACCTCAACTTTCTCATCAAGGAGTATTGTTTCGTGAGGTTCCTGTTCCTGTTTCTCCCGTATCCAAGAAACGAGCAGCAGAAGACATGGTGAAACATTTATCTCAACCGAAGAAGAAGAAGAAGAAGAAGAAGAAGACGAAGAAGGCTCGGAAGATTATTTCATCAAGTGAGTCTACAAAAGAGGATGAACGTGTACCAGAAACTCCGGAAATCACCTCTATTCGTACCAGTTCAATTCCAAAGACCACTGTCATAATCACCCCTGAAGTTTCGATTGCCAAGTCAATTTTTGAGGAGGTGAGAACTTCAGGCTTGGGTGAAAATGTTTCGAAGGATACAGATCAATGTCCATTCATCTCTACTCCTTTTGAATCATTCGTTTCTGTTACACCAACATCAACCATTCCTCTCACTTCAACTACTATCTCTCTAACCTTTGAACACATCCTCAATCAACCAATCATTTCCATGTTCTCCTCTCAATCAACTGATACCCCCAAACCAACTTCACCCACTGAAACAGATCATGAAGGGTTTGGAGGAACATTCGAAGATTTGGAATTTCATGATGAAGAAGAAGATTTCCCTGATCATATGCTCATGACCATGAAACAATACAAAATTTTGAATCAAAAGTTGAACTCCATTATTCAATCCCAAGCTGATCTTAGAGGGGGTTCATCAATTTCCAGTTTGGAGGTTGATTCAATGTTGAAGCTGTGTGAGTCCAAAATAATTTCTAAAGTATCAGGCATGTTGAAGGCTTCGGAGACAGTGCTTATGGAGAAGATTGATTACTCAAATCAAACAAATGAGCTTCGTCTTAAATCTCAAAGATCTGATTTTCTGGGAGAAGTGAAAGATCTACGAAACGTAACAAAAGAACGACATGTTCTGTATGTTCAGGAGGTTAAGAAAGTGAGGGAGGATGTGAATTCGAAAATCCAAGAACTTCATGAAGAAATGAACAAAGAAATTTTATCTGTTCAACATGATTATGCGTCCTTACATCAGAAGGTCGATATCATATGTGATGCTGTGACTATATTTGTCAAGATGTACAAAGGTTTGAGTCCACAAATTGCTCAAATATCCAAGTCTGAAACTGAAATTTTTGAAGGAGTGATGAAGCTGTTGAAAGAGTTGAAGGAGATATCCACAAAACCTGTTTCGTCTCCTTTGATCACTCCTGAATTTTTGTCACAAAAATTTGTACAGTTCGAAGCTATTCTAAACAAGCAACTTGCTCCACTCTTTCGCATATCTAGTCTTCTTCTCACAAAAACTACCCCTCCTGTTTTCACAGGGGTGCAAGGGGGAGAAAGGAAGTCCACAGAAGAAGAAGAAGAAAAAGTTGTGGACAAGGTATTTCCTTCGAACATCCCATCAACAAAGCCAGTGTTTTTATCTACTCAACCAGTGACTTGAACAATTGTTACAACATTACCAATTACACGAACAATTTCGAAAGGAATTGTTATTGGTAAACCTTTGGAGTCTGGTGGGATTGGTTCGAAGCCAAAAGACTTAACTGAAAAATCTGCTTCGAAAGACAAAGGCAAATCAATTTTAATTGAAAAATCCAAAGAAGAAAAGAAGGCTGAAGCTGAAGCTGAACTCGAGAGAATGAGGCTTGTTCATAGCATCATGACTCAGAAGGCTGGAGATCCGAAGGGCATGAATAAAGGTGATCCAACTAAGCATTACAATTATGAAACAATCGAAGCCTTGGTTGCCTTTAACCACATGTACTCTTTTGATAAGAAGCCAAAACAAAGTTATGTGGTTACAAACACTGATGCTTGTTAGTTGGATTTCCCTGTTAATGAGATGATGTTCATCATGCCTCAATTCAAAGCAGAAGGGAATTTCAAAGAAAAGAATGAAGGAACCCATATGAAGATTCGATTTCATGTAGTTCTGGGTAAAGCACAAGAGGAAGTCCGGTCACTAATCAAGATTAAAAAGGTGATTAGCATGAAGAAAGATGTGGTCTTCGAAAATATTTTTCAAAATGTAAAATACATTGTGGCCAGGGCAAATGGTAAAACATGTGAATTCACCTGACTTTCCTCTGATGAACTTGTATGATCTTATACAAGTTGCATTGCTTCTTAAAGACAAATCTTTCTCTTATTTGCAAAATACCGATCCTGAAGAATTCAAACTTGGAGTTTCTCACATCAAAATTTTCATTAAAAATTATTATGAGTGCCTTGCACTAACTGATGTGGAGTTGGCAACTGCGAAGGGAATGGAAGTTAAAGTTCCAATGGCTCCTTCGTTGACTCAGATTGAGTTAAAGAAGTTTGCAGAAGGAGAAATATGTTTAAAGCCACTTGGAATTGTTTTTGCTGGGAAGGATAAAGTTGGAAAAGCGAAGAGATTTTTGTTTCAAGCCAGCGAAGTGGAGAGATATTCATCATCTCAATATACGAACTTAATTGTTCGTATGAACCACTGTAATAAGAATAACAAACGCAATAAGAAGGAATTGAAGAAGATTATTTCTTGGTACACTGAAGTTCGAAGAGTTTTTCTATACTCCATCACTGTACTTACAAACTGAAGACTTCGACTTTGATTACAAAGGGGGGGATTGTTAGGGTCGAAATGTTGTAATTGTCGAAGTTTGTATTTAGGGTCGTCGAACATTTCTGTAATTGTATTTTACTAGGGCATAATATTCGAAGCATAATGTTTTAGTCCTTAGTATATTTTTTGTACGCTTTCCTCTCCTATAAATAGGAGAAGTTACTAGTGTCTTAGTAACGAAGTCTTTACAGCATATTCATTGTACTCTGTAAACTTTGAAAAAGCGTAATAGAGCCAAAACATAATATATTTACATTGGTGTTCAAATCTCGCATACTTACTTTGAATTCACACTATTATTTATTTTATACTTGATTCTTTGATTCATCAATCACTATCTTCCATTGGTTCCTCTTTAGAATCATTTCCATTACCTTGATTTGGGAAATAAGGGTCCCCTGGTATGTGATTTCCGGCCATGTGTATCTGTACGAGATGTAGAAGTGAGAAATATATAAAATATTTAGACGTGTGGTTTTAAAGTATTCCAAAATACTCCTATAGTATTTCAATATATATGTTCGGTTTTAATGTTCTTCTAAATATATATGGTTGGTAAGTTTTAGATATGTCGCAACACTACTATCACTCCCAAATGCATGTTGGTCATATCTCAAATCAATATAGTTGATCAGGCTATATTAATCCCAGATATGCTTACACAACTGCCCAGGTTTGACTATAATGTTCAACATCCAAATACTTTTAAGTTCTTATGATTGTGATACTATACTTGTATGTATGAGTGTTAGTATACTTCTTGTAAAAATACTTAAATTTTAAAAAAGAATATTTGTAGTCAGAGATCTTAGCCCCGATGTATTTATAGTTTGTATATCTTTTATGGATTGATATATTGTGTTTACTATAAACAATGCTCTGATACCAATCTGTCACACCCCCAAACCAGACGACGGAAACGTCCGGGTGTGGAGGACTTCATTTGTAGTATCACAACACATGCATAATAATAATCAGAGTACAAACAACCATTGTATTTAATAAGTATAAATATTTACATGTGTTTCATCATTGTATATTCAGACCAAAATAATTATACAAAAGAAGAAGATATGACTCAAAGTAGCTCCATCTTCTCAAAAAGTTCGGGGAGTACCTGTTTATTGTTTCCCTGAGAATACAAGTAATTTGAAAAGAGAGTATCAACATAAATTTGAGTGAGTGCATAAGTATTTATGTTTGAAAAGATGTCTTTGTATATGTAAATTGTTCTAGAAAGTCCTATATTTTCTGCTGTTTATGAAAAGTAATTTTATTCCCATAAAACCGTTCTATTTGTAAACCAATGTTTTGTGTTTGTATTCCTTCATGTAAAACTTGTCACTGAAAGTGTGCCTAGTTTCACCAGCTGTTATTGAAAACTGTAATATACCATAGTAGTTTGTATTTTGTAAACTAGTACTTTGAAGATGTACTTATGTTTGGTTGTTTATACACTAACGTATTGTTAATATCTTTTTAATGAGTTATATAACCATACTGTGACTAGATGGCCTAAAACAAACGCTGTGTAGGCGTTTAAATTGTTGATAACAATTGCCACTCATTGGCGTGTATGCCTGACTGTAGCTAGCAGCCTGAGTGCGGGGTTGTCAATCCCTATATAGATCTACACACAACTTGTTTCGATCCCATGATTGGAGACACTGGTTATAATATCAGGACTTTACCTTGGTTGTCTAAATGAATTAAAGAACCTGAATTAAATGTCTCATAAAAAGCATATAAACGTTACATGTATAATGAAAACCCAATCATTCTGAAAAAATGATTGATTGTATATCCATGAATTAACATGTATTTGAAAACGGTAAACTCTTGATTTTTTTTTAATCAAACCCTTGTTGCTTGTAAAACGGTGTATTCTAGTATACTTGAATCATGAATTGTTGTTCTACGTATCATAAATTATACCTATTATAATTTATATGTACTTTACGATTGGTATTTAACTATTTTTGCATGTAACCCCTTGCTCAACATGTTACAAAAGGTAATTAAACCGATGAAGTAACTTTTATATTTATATACATATACAATTTTATATATAAGTAAAATTTAAATGACATTCGGACAAATAACTGGTACTATAAGTCCACATCCAAACAAGGAAAAGGACCTAAAATGAGTTATTAGTCCTAAGCCTTTTAAAACTTATTTATATTAACATATATATATATATATATATATATATATATATATATATATATATATACTGTTGGATTAGTGTATAAGTCCATAACTATTTTGATATGTACTTAACCCGATAGTAAGCATGGTCCTTTTGGGTTACCTTCATACTGGTGACTAGACAAGATGATTGTTGAGGAGAGAGGTTGGTTTATTGTTAAGAATAATAAATTGGGGTATAAATATGATTTTTAATATATTATATGAATAATATATTAATTTGGAATCATATTATTAACTAGTATTTAATCAGAAATTAATTAGGAATTAATTTCGGGATTAAAGGAATTAATTAAAAGTACAGGGGTTGTTTTATAATTATTTGATAGTTGAGACTTTGGGGTATTGGATCACCTTTATTAAGGCTTAAACGAAAATCCTAGAAGGATCTAGGAGTTTTCATCCAAGGGCTTAAGGAAAGGAGTCCATGGACTTGCTTAGGCCCTAAGCTAAGGGATTAGGGTTTCCACCTTGAAACCCTAGTTAGCCTTAAGTATAAATAGCACCCTAAGGCACTAAATTCGGCCAATCCTTGGAGAAACCCTACTAGGGTAGAATTTTAGAGCCTCTTACCTCCCTTCCTCTCTCTCATATTCATCCTTTCACCCAAAGTGTGTTTGTCATCCATTAGAGGTACTACACTTGTGGTACTTGCTTTCAAGAGCTAAGGAAATCCAAGGAACTAGTTGTTATTGCTATATAACAACGAAAGGTACATATTATATTCTCCTTTGTGAATTTTGAAAATCATAGGATTATCCCAGGTTTCTTTTTGTGTTCATAAAGTTGTATGTCTAATAGTGAAAACATAGATCCAATTAGGGTTGCATGCACACATAGGATTGTTTGTATAAAACCCATCATATACAAATATGAATTTTTTGGGGAAAAATAAGTTTATAAAAGAGTTTTATATTTTGAGTATTTTTGATGCCTTAATGCCATTTTATCATGATTTGAAATCATTTATTTGTAACACAAGTTCTTGTGTTATACTTGTATTCCCCCCCCCCCCCCCTCCCCCCCTTAAAACAGTAAAAATTATGAAAATACGGGGATATGAACTAGGGGTGTGCAAAAAAACCGCAAAACCGAAAAACCGAGTTGAACCGGCCAATCCGAAACCCAAAAAAGCGAAACCCAAAAAAACCGTAACCCAAAAAAACTGAAACCGAAAAAACCGGATATCAATGGGTCGTTTTTTGGTTTTCATATATAGGTATCCACGGATACCCGAACCGATTGATATATATATATATATATATATATATATATATATATATATATATATATATATATATATATATATTAGTACAAAAAGTATTATTTCATTAGTATCGTTTTGATTGATCTACGAGTCTAATAACTTAAACAAAAATCCATATCG